AAAAAATGATTAATATTTTTTTGTTATTATAAGGACTATATAACTATGCTAATTTAATATTTTTTGAATTGAAATTATATTTTTAATGATTTTACGTATTATATATATATACACGAATTGAAACTTACATTTTAAAAAAAATGAAATTATCAACGTATTGAATTTGTATTGTATCCACGCATCATAGTCATTAACTCATGTCAATTTTTTTTTTTTTTTTTTTGAGGGAGGGGGTGGAGATTGATAATCTATGCTCAAGATGTAAGTCATTACGGCATAGTGACATGCTATGACTATTCCACCATTATCACATTAGTTTACTTTGACTCTTTGAAAGCTACCACTTTTAATATTCCGTTTTGTTATCATTAGTTTACTCTGTATATTAATCTGTTCCCACATATTGTCACAAAAATATTGTACATAATAAGTGCGGAGGGAAATAAGACTAAGAGTATCTAATATGGTTCCTATACTAATTAGTGCTCTTTATAATGCCCTGCTTTTTATTTTTTTTAAAGAAAATTATTGGTTTCTGTATAAATAAGGTAATCATGGTATTTTCAAATCATGAAATGACAGCTTTATACATTTTTTTACTATTTTTTCAAAAAAATTACCAAAAAATTATATAATTTTGATATATTTATTTAAAAATTTTTGAAAATATGAAATTCTACTATCGGAATTTCAAGACGTTAGGGGTGTTTTTGATTTTACTTAGAAGCTAATGATCCAAGGAAAATGAAAACAGAATTGAGAAAGAAGGTTGTTACAAAGGGTATTAGAAAAAGGTTCATCCCTAAATTTATGGACAAAAATAATACTATAATAAGGTTCATTGAAACTGTCAATTAAAAACAAGATTAGTGTCAAGATCTTCCTGTGAGTGATGAATTCTCGCCTTGTACTTTGGTGGTGGGTTTACTGTTCAAATGGAAGGGGGCAAATACAAGAATAAGAGAACGTGTCAAACACATGGACTGCGTCATAATGTTAACCACTGATTATTACGGACAATACATCTAAGGGATTGAATCTCGCAGAAACCCTAGTTTGGCTAAACCCAGAAACATCATGTCCTCGTTTTTCTTTCTCTCTTTTGGCGGTAATATTGTAGAAATATATCATCTCTTCACTGAAAGTCGAAAACAGCAAAAAGAAAATGTGTTATGGGAAAAACAGAAAATTTTCCACATAGGAAATTGCAGAGGAGTAATAGGTCAGTGGTAATCCGCAAGGAAAGTGTTAAACTTTACCTGAAGACTTATTTCTCGCTTAATAACTTGAGTCTATATTATCAGTCTTAGTAAATGGAGGGTATTTGGGTCTTTTGATCATTGAGATTAATTTTATTTTAGTCCATTTCAGATTTTAATGGGCCTTATTTGTGATTATGTAACATCCCTGATCTTGTATTGAAATTCTCGCCTTCTCCTATCCATGTAGTTTTTATTTTGTTCCCTTGGAAATCAATCAATGACCTCTAAAATGTTTTTGGGTAATTTTACCGCTCGTTAACTGTATATAAACAAAAATACAATGTCTAGATCAATTAAAACATATGCATGCCATCGACAACAATTAAGATTGGATCATCATTCTTTTTTTTAATTTCAATACCAGGAGTATTTGAACATTATTTCAAGTATTTAAGGTCAAAAATTTAAGTTCTCAAAATTTGGGCAAAGCATTTGGTTTTTTTCTTTATTGGTCATAATTATTCTGTTATTGGAGATGATTTTGTTCACTTGAGACACGATTTTGTACTAAACATGAGCATATTTTTAATAGGAATTTGAACCTTTTTTCGTTACTATTTTGTGAGGGTCTAGTTCCTTTCACTAGAAAGCATTTGGTCCATTAATCTATTAACTAGACAGAAATTCATTTTTAACATTAATTTCAGGACTCCTCCATTAGCTTCAAGCTTCTCATCCTCTTCTCGATATTCTCTCTACCCATCTGTGTTTTCTTTTGGATTCTCCCTATGTTTGTACAAAAGTTAACATGGGTATACATGTGGGCAAACTTGGTTAAACAAACATTGACCGGGCAATACTTAATATAATGGTGAATGTTAAATAATTTAATGGGAGGACATTAGATGATTTATTTTTAAAAGTTTAAGAGGTCAATTGGACTAAAGTAAAATATAGGATATTGGGTGCTCCTAAAGATATAATTCATGGGCAAAAATGAAGATTATCCTTTTTTTTAAATAATCTTGCTATTTTGAAGAATCATTACTATATTTGAAATTTTAAAGTTTTTGGCAGCATTCTTTATAGTAGTTAGCATTATGCCATCAAAAAATTTCAAAATTTGAATGTGGTAGCAGTTCAGGTACAACTACCCAAGCAGCTACCAACATTACCGGACTTTCTAAAATTTTCACATATTGTAGCGGTTTCATAAGCTACTATCATTTTCATGCCAAAAAATTCAAACCAAGTGGACAAAATTTTGGGTCAAACTTCATTTCAATTCGGCGTTGTGGTTTGTCCAAATCACTACATATATTGTAACATTTTGAATACAATAATAGCAGTTTGGAAAATGGACTCATCACTGTGCTTTGTATAATAGTGGTTTGGCAAACCTACTAATGTGATTGGTAGCGGTTTGAACCACTACTAAATAACTTTTTTTTTATGGTGTAGTGATCATTATGAGTATAAAGGACTATATGACTATGCTAATTTGGATATTTTTTAATTGAAATTATATTTGTAATGGTTTTATATGTTATATATATATGTGCACGCGCGCGCACGATTGGATATGTATCATATTTCATATTTTTAAAAAATGAATAATATCGACATATCTAATATATACCGTATTTGTGCATCATAGTCATTAACCCATATTAACTGGGAAAAGAGATTGATAATCTATGCTCTGAGATTTAAGTCATTACGGTATAGTGACATGCTATGATTATTCCAATAATAATTCAACCACTGTCACATTAGTTTACTTTGATTCTTTGAAGTCTATCACTTTTGAATATTCCGTTTTGTTATCATTAGTTTACTCTGTATATATTAATCTGTTCTCCTATACTGTCACAAAAATGTTGTACATAATAAATGCTGAGGGAAATAAGATTTAGAGTCTCTCATATGCCTCCTTTACTAATTAATGCTCTTTGTAATGCCCCGCTTTTTTAATTTTATTTTTGTTTTGTCTCTTTTAAATTATTGACTTCTATATAAAATAAGATAATCATGATATCTTAAGATCCTGAAATGGTGGTTTTATATTGTTTTTAAACTATTTTTCAAAGAAAATTACCACAAAATTATGTAATTTTGATATCTTTTTTAAAAAATTGTAGAAAATACAAAATTCTATCATTTCAGAATTTTAAGATCTCTGGATGCCTTTTATTTTACGTAAAAGCCAATGATACAAGAAAGATAAAAAAAATTGAGAAAGCAGGTTATTCCAAAGGGAATTAGAGGAAGGTTCAATGGATGTACTATCCCGAAAAATTATGGATAAAAATACTATAAAAAGGTTCATTGAAACAGTCAATTAAAAACAAGATTAGTGTCTAGATCTTCCTCTGAGTGATGGATTCTCGCCTTGTACTTTGGTGGCGGGTCTACTGTTCAAATGAAAGGGGACAAATACAAGAATAAGAGAATGTGTCAAACACATGGATTGCATCAATAATGTTAACCTCTGATTACGGACAATGCATCTAAGGGATTGAATCTCGCTGACTAAGCTAATATTATAACCACTTTGTGCCAAACCCTAGTTTGGATAAACACAGAAACATCAAGTATGTTTGGTTTGTGTTCTCATTTTTTGTTTTTAAAAACTATTTTGTAATACAGTTTTTAAAATTATTTTTCAAAACAAAATCAATTGAAAATCTGTTTAGTTATGTCAATTAAAAAAATAGTTTTATAATTAAAAAATGGAGTGATAGTAATGATTATAGACAGTTAATTGTGATTATTAATAATGGAAGTTAATCAAGATAACTAAAATTTTTAATAATCATATG